TGAAAAATTTATCTCAAATGTTGTGCACACATTTGTTTACATCCCTGTTAGTGAGCATTTCTCCTTTGCCAAGATAATCCATCCACCTGACAGGTGTGGCATATCAAGAAGCTGATAAAACAGCATGATCATTACACAGGTGCACCTTGTGCTGGGGACAATAAAAGGTCACTCAAAAATGTGTAGTTTTATCACACAACACAATGCTACAGATGTCTCAAGTTTTGAGGGACCATGCAATTGGCATGCTGACTGCAGGAATGTCCATCAGAGCTGTTGCCAGATAATTGAATGTTCATTTCTCTACCATAAGCCGTCTCCAACGTCGTTTTAGAAAGAACCGACGTTTGGCATTTGCCAGAGAACACCAAGATTGGTAAATTCGCAATTGGCGCCCTGTGCTTTCACAGATGAAAGCAGTTTCACACTGAGCACGTGACAGACGTGACAGAGTCTGGAGACGCCGTGGAGAACGTTCTGCTGCCTGCAACATCCTCCAGCATGACCGGTTTGGCGGTGGGTCAGTCATGGTGTGGGGTGACATTTCTTTGGGGGGCCGCACAACCCTCCATGTGCTCGCCAGAGGTAGCCTGACTGCCATTAGGTACCGAGATGAGATCCTCAGACCCCTTGTAAGACCATTTGCTGGTGCGGTTGGCCCTGGGTTCCTCCTAATTCAAGACAATGCTAGACCTCATGTGGCTGGAGTGTGTCAGCAGTTCCTGCAAGAAGAAGGCGTTGATGCTATCGACTGGCCCGCCCGTTCCCCAGACCTGAATCCAATTGAGCACATCTGGGACATCATGTCTCGCTCCATCCACCAACGCCACGTTTCACCACAGACTGTCCAGGAGTTGGCGGATACTTTAGTCCAGGTCTGGGAGGAGATCCCTCAGGAGACCATCCGCCACCATCAGGAGCATGCCCAGGCGTTGTAGGGAGGTCATACAGGCACGTGGAGGCCACACACACTACTGAGCCTCATTTTGACTTGTTTTAAGGACATTACATCAAAGTTGGATCAGCCTGTAGTGTGGTTTTCCACTTTAATTTTGAGGGTGACTCCAAATCCAGACCTCCATGGGTTGATAAATGTTGTGTGATTTTGTTGTCAGCACATTCAACTATGTAAAGAAAAAAGTATTTAATAAGATTATTTCATTCATTCAGATCTAGGATGTGTTATTTTAGTGTTCCCTTTATTTCTTTGAGCAGTGTATATAAAAACACCCATCTACACCCTATACCCCAGCTGTGAGTCTTTCTGGGTAAATCTCTAAGAGCTTTCCACACCTGGATTGTGCAACATTCGCCCTTTATTCTTGAAAAATTATTGAATCTCTGTCAAATTGGTTGTTGGTCATGGCTAGAGAACCATTTACAAGTCTTGCCATAGATTTTCAAGTAGATTTAAGTCAAAACTGTAACTCGGCCACTCAGGAATATTCACTGTCTTCTTGCTAAGCAACTCCAGTGTAGATTTGGCATTATGTTTTAGGTTATTGTCCTGCTGAAAGTGGAATTAATCTCCCAGTGTCTGGTGGAAAGCAGACTGAATCAGGTTTTCCTCTAGGATTTTGCCTGTGCTTAGCTGCATTCCATTTCTTTTTTTATCCTGAAAAACTCCCCATTCCTTAACGATTACAAGCATAACCATAACATGGTGCAGCCACCACTATGCTTGAAAATATGGAGAGTGGTACTCATCAATGTGTTGTATTGGATTTACCCCAAACATAACACTTTGTATTCTGGACAAAAAGTTAATTGTTTTGCCAAATTTTTTGCAGTATTACTTTAGTGCCTTATTGCAAACAGGTTGCATGTTTTGGGATATTTTTATTCTGTACAGGCTTCCTTCTTTTCACTCTGTCAATTAGGTTAGTATTGTGGAGTAACTACAATGTTGTTGATCCATCCTCAGTTTTCTCCTATCACAGCCATTAAGGGATATTCAATGTCTGCCTGTTTTATTTTGACCATCTACCAATAGGTGCCCTTCTTTGCAAAGCGTTGGAAAACCTCCCTGGTCTTTGTGGTTGAATCTGTGTTTGAAATTCACTGCTCGACAGATGAGATAGTCATTAAAAACTCATGTTAAACAGTATTATTGGGGTATTGTGTGTAAGCCAGTGACACAAAATCGCAATTCAATCTATTTTAAATTCAGGCTGTAACACAACAAAAAGTCAAGGGGTGTGAATACTTTCTGAAGGTCAAATGTTTTGAGAATGACACAAGTATTGGTCTTCAAAAAGTTTGCTGCTTCAGTGTTTTTAGATATTTTTGACAGATGTTACTATGGTATACTGAAGTATAATTATAAGCATTCCATAAGTGTCAAAGGCTTTTATTGACAATTACATTAAGTTTATGCAAAGACTCAATATTTGCAGTGTTGACACTTCTTTTTCAAGACCTCTGCAATCTGTGGGCCACATCCTGACTGATGGCAGCCCATTCTTGCATAATCAATGCTTGGAGTTTGTCAGAATTTGTGGTTTTTTGTTTGTCCACCCGCCTCTTGAGGATTGACCACAAGTTCTCAATGGGATTAAGGTCTGGGGAGTTTCCTGGCCATGGACCCAAAATTTCGATGTTTTGTTCCCAAGCCACTTAGTTATCACTTTTGCCTTATGGCAAGATGCTCCATCATGCTGGAAAAGGCATTGTTCGTCACCAAACTGTTCTTGGATGGTTGGGAGAAGTTGCTCTTGGAGGATGTGTTGATACCATTCTTTATTCATGGCTGTGTTCTTAGGCAAAATTGTGAGTGAGCCCACTCCCTTGGCTGAGAAGCAACCCCACACATGGTTTCAGGATGCTTTACTGTTGGCATGACACAGGACTGATGGTAGCGCTCACCTTGTCTTCTCCGGACAAGGTTTTTTCCGGATTCCCCAAACAATCGGAAAGGGGATTCATCAGAGAAAATGACTTTACCCCAGTCCTCAGCAGTCCAATCGCTGTACCTTTTGCAGAATATCAGTCTGTCCCTGATGTTTTTCCTGGAGAGAAGTGGCTTCCTCGCTGCCCTTCTTGACACCAGGCCATCCTCCAAAAGTCTTCGCTTCACTGTGCGTGCAGATGCACTCACACCTGCCTGCTGCCATTCCTGAGCAAGCTCTGCAATGGTGGTGCCCCGATCCCGCAGCTGAATCAACTTTAGGAGACGGTCCTGGCGCTTGCTGGACCTTCTTGGGCGCCCTGAAGCCTTCTTCACAACAATTGAACCTCTCTCCTTGAAGTTCTTGATGATCCGATAAATGGTTGATTTAGGTGCAATCTTACTAGCAGCAATATCCTTGCCTGTGAAGCCCTTTTTGTGAAAAGCAATGATGACGGCATGTGTTTCCTTGCAGGTAACCATGGTTAACAGAGGAAGAACAATGATTTCAAGCACCACCCTCCTTTTAAAGCTTCCAGTCTGTTATTCTAACTCAATCAGCATGACAGAGTGATCTCCAGCCTTGTCCTCGTCAACACTCTCACCTGTGTTAACGAGAGAATCACTGACATGATGTCAGCTGGTCCTTTTGTGGCAGGGCTGAAATGCAGTGGAAATGTTTTTTGGGGATTAAGTTCATTTTCATGGCAAAGAGGGACTTTGCAATTAATAGCAATTAATCTGATCACTCTTCATAACATTCTGGAGTATATGCAAATTGCCATCATAAAAAACTGAGGCAGCAGACTTTGTGAAAATTAATATTTGTGTCATTCTCAAAACTTTTGACCACGACTGTATGTCTTTGTGTGTGTGTTCCATGGGAAGAAGACGTCATGTGCTGCATCGTTCTCAGACGGTAGAATGTGTTTTTGTGTGTTGCAGTACCAGCACGTCTAATGTGACCAAACTGGAGGAGATGGAGCATCTACTGAGACAGGCCCAGGAAGAGAAGGACCGCCTCATAGAACACAAGGTAACATACATACATACACACACACACACACACACACACACACACACAGAGAGAGAGAGAGAACTGCAAGATGTGTAAAGTGTGTGTTGTGTCTGGTGAAGGAGCAAGAGATGGAGTCAGGCAAACAGGCTCATGTGGAGGAGAGGAGAAGGAGGGAGCATCTGGAGAAAGGACTGCAGGAGGAGACCAACAGACGACAGAAAACCATTGATGGGGAGGTGAAACTACGGGAGAAACAGAGAGCACAGGTAAGAGAGAGAGAGCGAAAGAAAGAAAGAGAAAAGTATATTCAAAAGTCAAGCGAAAACAGTAGCTCTCCAGGATTATAGGGTTGGTGACCAGTTGTGTAACCTTTAACCCCTGTCCCCTCAGTCCCGTCCTCTGACGCGCTACCTGCCGGTGCGTAAGGATGACTTTGACCTGAGGGCCCATATAGAGTCAGCGGGCCACAGCGCTGACACCTGTTTCCACCTGTCCCTCACGGAGAAGACGTGCCGAGGATTCCTGGTCAAGATGGGGGGAAAGATCAAGACCTGGAAGAAACGCTGGTTCGTCTTCGACCGCAACCGGCGAACGCTCTCCTATTTCTCGGGTAAAGAAAGGATGGTGACAGTGGAGTGTGAATAACTCACACTATTCTGATGTGTGTGTGTGCAGATATGTGTGTGTGTGTTAACAACTCCTCTGATGTGTGTGTGTGTGTTTTGTATGTGCTGCAGACAAGCACGAGGCCAAGCTGAAAGGTGTCATCTACTTTCAAGCCATAGAAGAAGTTTACTACGACCACTTAAAGAAGGCACACAAGGTACATGTTGCTCTGATAGAGAGTCTGTGCTCTCTCCCGCCTCCAGTGTCCTAATCCCTGCCTCTCTCTCCCCCCTCCAGTGTCCTAATCCCTGCCCCTCTCTCCCCCTCATGTTCCATAATCCCTGCTCTCTCTCCCCCCCTCCAGTGGTCCTAATCCCTGCCTCTCTCTCCCCCCTCCAGTGTCCTAATCCCTGCCTCTCTCTCCCCCCTCCAGTGTCCTAATCCCTGCCTCTCTCTCCCCCCTCCAGAGTCCTAATCCCTGCCTCTCTCTCCCCCCTCCAGTGTCCTAATCCCTGCCTCTCTCTCCCCCATCCAGAGTCCTAATCCCTGCCTCTCTCCCCCCTCCAGTGTCCTTATCCCTGCCTCTCTCTCCCCCCTCCAGTGTCCTAATCCTGCCTCTCTCTCCCCCTCCAGTGTCCTAATCCCTGCCTCTCTCTCCCCCATCCAGAGTCCTAATCCTGCCTCTCTCTCCCCCTCCAGTGTCTAATCCCTGCCTCTCTCTCCCATCCAGAGTCCTAATCCCTGCCTCTCTCTCCCCCCTCCAGTGTCCTAATCCCTGCCCCTCTCTCCCCCCTCCAGTGTCCTAATCCCTGCCTCTCTCTCCCCCTCCAGTGTCCTAATCCCTGCCTCTCTCTCCCCCTCCAGTGTCCTAATCCCCTGCCCTCTCTCCCCTCCAGTGTCTTAATTCCTGCCTCTCTCTCCCCCCTCCAGAGTCCTAATCCCTGCCTCTCTCTTCCCCCTCCAGAGTCCTAATCCCTGCCTCTCTCTCCCCCCTCCAGTGTCCTAATCCCCTGCCCCTCTCTCCCCCTCCAGTGTCTTAATTCCTGCCTCTCTCTCCCCCCTCCAGAGTCCTAATCCCTGCCTCTCTCTTCCCCCTCCAGAGTCCTAATCCCTGCCTCTCTCTTCCCCCTCCAGAGTCCTAATCCCTGCCTCTCTCTTCCCCCTCCAGAGTCCTAATCCCTGCCTCTCTCTCCCCCCTCCAGTCCTAAACCCTGCCTCTCTCTCCCCCCTCCAGAGTCCTAACCCGTGTCTGACGTTCAGTGTGAAGACTCAAGACAGGGTCTACTACATGCTGGCCCCCTCTCCTGAGGCCATGAGGATCTGGATGGACGTTATTGTCACTGGGGCAGAGGGATACACTCAGTTCATGGTGTAGAACAGGGTTTCCCAAACTCAGTCCTCGGGACCGCAAAGGGTGCACGTTTAGTTTGTTGCCCTAGCACTACACAGCTGATTCAAATAACCAACTCATCATTAAGCTTTGAATCAGCTGTGTAGTGTCAGGGCAAAAACGAAAACGTGCACCCCTTGGGGTCCCGAGGACCGAGTTTGGGAAACGCTAGCGTAGAAGTTGTGATGAACCCACAGTGGAAGGACACATCCAGTTGATGCTGTAAAGAGTTGTGCTTCGGCCAGAGTGGAGGGATACGACCAGCGTGCGTTTCCGGCACCAGGACTAGATCCTCTCTTTTCTCTGTGACTCAAATGGACGGTTGTTCTTATTTCTGTATTTTTTTATTTTATTTTTTAACCTTTTCTAAAGAAGTATTCTCCAACAGTGTGCATTAACTCTCACTGTAACTCTGCGGGGATTGGCCAGTGTTTTTACGCCATCATTATGTTGACAAAGCGCCTGGTCATTGATTAACTAGCAATGTACATAGCAACCGCAGGAGGTTGGTAGCACCTTCATTGTTATTATAATGAGCCGACCTCCCCTCAGCGGTCTCCACTGATAGCAACACGATGTGCTGTAGTAAACAAGCAAAACAGAACAGTCATTTAACTTCCTGGTTGTGTAGGGTCAAATGATCAGGGAGCAAGATACTGATATTTACTCAACCCCCAACGTCCTCGGGTCTCCTCTGTGTGTGTGTGTGTTTCAAAGTTGATTCGTCAGGTGCACAGGATACAACAGGTGTAAAACAGTACAGTGAAATCCCTACCTTGAGAGCTCTTTGCCAACAATGCAGTGATGATGCTGATAATAATACTATAGAAAATCATAGAACAATAGAATACATGTTTTAATTTAAATTAAAACCACACAAGAAGAACTACGATGTGAGGTGGAAACACGAGAATGCAAGTATGTACAGGTCAGTGTCAGTACCTTATTCAATGTGCAGGGGTACTGGAGTGGTTGTATTTACAGGTCAGTGTCAGTACCTTATTCAATGTGCAGGGGTACTGGAGTGGTTGTATGTACAGGTCAGTGTCAGTACCTTATTCAATGTGCAGGGGTACTGGAGTGGTTGTATGTACAGGTCAGTGTCAGTACCTTATTCAATGTGCAGGGGTACTGGAGTGGTTGTATGTACAGGTCAGTGTCAGTACCTTATTCAATGTGCAGGGGTACTGGAGTGGTTGTATGTACAGGTCAGTGTCAGTACCTTATTAAATGTGCAGGGGTACTGGAGTGGTTGTATGTACAGGTCAGTGTCAGTACCTTATTCAATGTGCAGGGGTACTGGAGTGGTTGTATGTACAGGTCAGTGTCAGTACCTTATTCAATGTGCAGGGGTAGTGGAGTGGTTGTATGTACAGGTCAGTGTCAGTACCTTATTCAATGTGCAGGGGTACTGGAGTGGTTGTATGTACAGGTCAGTGTCAGTACCTTATTAAATGTGCAGGGGTACTGGAGTGGTTGTATGTACAGGTCAGTGTCAGTACCTTATTCAATGTGCAGGGGTACTGGAGTGGTTGTATGTACAGGTCAGTGTCAGTACCTTATTCAATGTGCAGGGGTACTGGAGTGGTTGTATGTACAGGTCAGTGTCAGTACCTTATTAAATGTGCAGGGGTACTGGAGTGGTTGTATGTACAGGTCAGTGTCAGTACCTTATTCAATGTGCAGGGGTACTGGAGTGGTTGTATGTACAGGTCAGTGTCAGTACCTTATTCAATGTGCAGGGGTACTGGAGTGGTTGTATGTACAGGTCAGTGTCAGTACCTTATTCAATGTGCAGGGGTACTGGAGTGGTTTTATGAACAGGTCAGTGTCAGTACCTTATTCAATGTGCAGGGGTACTGGAGTGGTTGTATATACAGGTCAGTGTCAGTACCTTATTCAATGTGCAGGGGTACTGGAGTGGTTGTATGTACAGGTCAGTGCCAGTACCTTATTCTGTATTTGTCGTTCATAAGAAATGATACATTTAGTGCAAAAAAAGTAAAGATAAACGCCAAAATAATCACAAAATAGCAAAGTTGGGTCGGGGCTCTCAAGACAGCAGCCATATAGTACGGTGCCATCTTATCGTGTGTGTGTTTATGTTTAATGTGCTCACATAACCCAGAGGTGCTAATCTTTTTGAATTGTACCTAATGTCCTCTGTTGTGTCCTCCAGTGTAGCCAAAGGTCAAATCATCTCGGCATGGAGTATCTGGGGTCAGGCTAGCCAGGGGTTGATGCGGTATTGGGCATTAATTTACTTTTTAACCATTAGATTAAAAAAATAACTTTTGAAGGATATCAATGGCTGGTTTTATCATTAGTTATATTATACTGTATTTATGCTATTCATTATCAATGCATGTATCTTTATTTTTGCATACAGAGAAATAAAGCAAGAACATATTGTGCCTTGAAAATGTGTTTGGTCATTTTTCTTGAAAAGAGAATATGTTATCATAAGGCATGGATTTGTTGGAAGGGTCCTTTGAAGGTAAAGATTCTGGGTTTGCTCATCATCACTAAGGCTCCATGTGCTCAGAACCAGCAGTATCAAATAAGAACCACTAGAGGGTGATCTTGTCCTGGACTCAGACTGGCTCCTGGTCCTCTCTCCAGACACAGGTGTAGTGGCACGTTGTGTAGTGGCACGTTGTGTATACATAGGGGGTTACTTTGGGAATTAGAGAGCTTCAACTAAAGCACAGGTTCACTTCTCCCACGGTCTGAGAGAACATCAGATATAAGAAACCTGCTGTGACATCATCGTTGGCACTGTTTTCTGTTCAGTCAGCATTATTTAGTTTTTCATGTCAGGTAAACACATGTTTAATTATTATCCATTGGTTCACTACATTGTGAGTGTATGTAAAGAAGGAGACCGAGCATCATAGACTGCATCATTTCAGAATGAGGGATGCTGTAGCTCTGCTGGTGTTGCTGTTCTGTCTGTCTGGGGTCATGGGGTCAGGGAGGGCGTGGAGGGGTCACAGAGAATCAGTGGTGGAAATAGTACTGAATTGTCATACTTGAGTAAAAGTAAAGATACCTTAATAGAAAAATAACTCAAGTAAAAGTGAAAGTCACCCAGTAAAACACTACTTGAGTAAAAGTCTAAAAGTATTTGGTTTTAAATATACTTAATGCATCAAAGGTAAATGTAATTGCTAATATATACTTAAGTATAAATCATTTCACATTCCTTATATTTAGCAAACCAGACGGCATCATTTAATTTTTTTTATTTACAGATAGCCAGGGGCACGCTCCAACACTCAGACATCATTTACAAAATGAAGCGTTTGTTTAGTGAGTCCGCCAGATCAGAGGCAGTAGGGATGACCAGTGATGTTCTCTTGATAAGTGTGTGAATTGGACCATTTTGCTGTCCTGCTAAGCATTCAAATGTAATGAGTACTTGTGGGTGTCAGGGAAAATGTATGGCGTAAAAAGTACATTATTTTCTTTAGGAATGTAGTGAAGTAAAAGTAAAAGTTGTCAAAATATAAATAGTAAAGTCAAGTACAGATACCACAAAAAAACTACTTAAGTAGTACAGAGAGTGGAGCTAAGGAACATGGAGGCCAGACTGAGAGACATGGTGGTGGTCCTGTGTAGCTCAGTTGGTAGAGCATGGCGCTTGCAACGCCAGGGTTGTGGGTTCGATTCCCACGGGGGGCCAGTATGAAACAATGTATGCACTCACTGAACTGTAAGTCGCTCTGGATAAGAGCGTCTGCTAAATGACTAAAATGTGGAGGCCAGACTGAAGGACTGTGAGGGGGAGAATGAAGGTAACTGGCATGTTCTAAATATGGAAGTTGATTTATAGGTAATTATAAGGTCAGTTCACTGAAAGATTAACTGATTTATTGTCATAATTCCAGCACAAGCAGCTTAACCGTCAGCCATGGGGGCCAAAGAGACAGCCAGTGAAAAGGAGGTGACTATTAGAGAAGAAGACTGAACTGACAGCTCCAGAAGAACGAGGTAGAGGAGCTGGTGAAAGAGAATGCAGGTAAATGTCACAGAAATATCTGTTTAAATTATACATTTATTTGAGTAATTTTTTATATGGTTTAACTTTCTTCAGCACTAACTTTTAACTCATATTTTCTTTCATGTTATGTCCAATGTTCCCTAAAAAAATTATTAGGCACTGAGCAAATTTCAGATCTGCTGAGTCCAAACTTGAAATTGTGGTGCGTGTTTACTGTGAACACGGAGGCTGTACCTGCTTTAAGTTACAGTTTTAACAGTAGCCAAGTAGGCTACTGTGGCTATTTGATCATAATGTAGGCCTACCAGAGTGGCCTACCACCAAAAACAATGGAGAAAATGCATCCCATAACATTTTAACATGGAAATAGCTTTTCTTTCATTCAGCCTACAGTAGCAGCCAATGTGTGGTGTTCAAAGCTAACATTCCATGAGGCTTTTGAAAAACAACATGCAAGGCTTGACATTAACCTGTTTATCCACTTGTCCTTCAGACAAGTGATGTGACTGAAAATGTTGTGTTTGATGCAAGAAACCACTTTACAAAATAAAATGTATTATTATTCCCATACCATTATTACAGAGAATCAGACAAATTATGCTACGCTCTGCCTATTGGCTACTTAGCTTATTCAAGACCGTCTCAAAATACAACACTTCCCCTTTAAGACATAAAAAAGCTCTTTACTTGACTGGCTTTTCAAAGATAGCTAGAAATGCACACATTTTGTGCTCTTGTTGGAAGCAACCACTCCCCCATTGTTGACTAGAAATTAGCTATGACTGGGCTAATAACTCACCAACTAGCAAAGAATATGACTTTGCCTAAGCATTGTTGTCACTAGTTTAATCCAAGTAGGGAAAGGGTGGCGGGGTTGGAAAGTAATAAAGGGGAATATATATATATTTTTAAAGGATGTGTGTGTATGTATGTATGTATGTGGGTGTGTATGTATGTGTGTATATGTATATGTGTTTGTATATATATATATATATATATATATACACTGCTCAAAAAAATTAAGTGAACACTAAAATAACACATCCTAGATCTGAATGAATGAAATAATCTCATTAAATACTTTTTTCTTTACATAGTTGAATGTGCTGACAACAAAATCACACAAAAATTATCAATGGAAATCAAATGTATCAACCCATGGAGGTCTGGATTTGGAGTCACCCTCTAAATGAAAGTGGAAAACCACACTACAGGCTGAACCAACTTTGATGTAATGTCCTTAAAACAAGTCAAAATGAGGCTCAGTAGTGTGTGTGGCCTCCACGTGCCTGTATGACCTCCCTACAACGCCTGGGCATGCTCCTGATGAGGTGGCGGATGGTCTCCTGAGGGATCTCCTCCCAGACCTGGACTAAAGCATCCGCCAACTCCTGGACAGTCTGTGGTGCAACGTGGTGTTGGTGGATGGAGCGAGACATGATGTCCCAGATGTGCTCAATTGGATTCAGGTCTGGGGAACGGGCGGGCCAGTCCATAGCATCAACACCTTCCTCTTGCAGGAACTGCTGACACACTCCAGCCACATGAGGTCTAGCATTGTCTTGCATTAGGAGGAACCCAGGGCCAACCGCACCAGCATATGGTCTCACAAGGGGTCTGAGGATCTCATCTCGGTACCTAATGGCAGTCAGGCTACCTCTGGCGAGCACATGGAGGGCTGTGCGGCCCCCCAAAGAAATGCCACCCCACACCATGACTGACCCACCGCCAAACCGGTCATGCTGGAGGATGTTGCAGGCAGCAGAACGTTCTCCACGGCGTCTCCAGACTCTGTCACGTCTGTCACGTGCTCAGTGTGAACCTGCTTTCATCTGTGAAGAGCACAGGGTGCCAGTGGCGAATTTGCCAATCTTGGTGTTCTCTGGCAAATGCAAAACGTCCTGCACGGTGTTGGGCTGTAAGCACAACCCCCACCTATGGACGTCGGGCCCTCATAGTCTGTTTCTGACCGTTTGAGCAGACACATGCACATTTGTGGCCTGCTGGAGGTCATTTTGCAGGGCTCTGGCAGTGCTCCTCCTTGCACAAAGGCAGAGGTAGCAGTCCTGCTGCTGGGTTGTTGCCCTCCTACACGTCTCCTGTTGTACTGGCCTGTCTCCTGGTAGCGCCTCCATGCTCTGGACACTACGCTGACAGACACAGCAAACCTTCTTGCCACAGCTCGCATTGATGTGCCATCCTGGATGAGCTGCACTGCCTGAGCCACTTGTGTGGGTTGTAGACTCCGTCTCATACTACCACTAGAGTGAAAGCACCACCAGCATTCAAAAGTGACCAAAACATCAGCCAGGAAGAATAGGAACTGAGAAGTGGTCTGTGGTCAACACCTGCAAAACCAGTCCTTTATTGGGGGTGTGTTGCTAATTGCCTATAATTTCCACCTGTTGTCTATTCCATTTGCACAACAGCATGTGAAATTTATTGTCAATCAGTGTTGCTTTCTAAGGGGACAGTTTGATTTCACAGAAGTGTGATTGACTTGGAGTTACATTATTTTTTTTGAGCAGTGTATAAAGATTGGTGGTGGAGGAATAATGGTTCGGCCTTGGCCCCTTAGCTCCAGTGAAGGGAAATCTTATCGCTACAGCATACAATGACATTTTAGACTATTCTGTGCTTCCAACTTTGTGGCAACAGTTAGTGGAAAGCATTCCCAGAAGAGTGGAGGCTGATTTTGCAAAGGGGGGGGGGGGGGGGGACCAAATCCACATGATTTTGGAAGTAGATACTTTTGGCCATGTAGTGTATGTTTAATGTTTTGTTTTAAACTGCGTAATAAAGTACTGGCTTTGCAGTAATTGAGGTGAACTCTGCTGATGGTAAATTAAATTTGAGTAACAGCAAAGCATAAATGTGTCTACCATCTCATATGACTCAATTTGTTTTGATAAGGCACTTGTATAATATACAGTATTACTTTTTTTAACCTACAAGAGTGTACTAAACAGTAAATTAATATTGTACAATCATGCTTTTGTATCAATGGGGGAAATCCACAAGGCAGAGGAAAATGCACAGACCAACATTTTTATTGAGGACTTCAGCACTACAACAGCTTGTGTGGAAGGGGGGGGGGGGGGGAGGGGTTCAGTATCAAATGATAAATAACAGTACGCCTGGTTGGACAATGCCTAAAGGCCCCTCTAGATCACAGGAACATTCTAGAACTCTGCAGTTGAGTTCTAGAACATTCTAAAAACACAGCCATTCTAGAATGCCTCCGTTCCGGAACATTCTAGATTAGAAGAACACAGTTCTAGAAGACAGGGCCGAGCACGCATGCACTCAGTGGGGCCGGGTGTGAGGTCCCTAGTCTTCGGACTCTCCAGGGCTTCTGATGTCGTCTATCTTCAGGATCATCTTGACTACCTGGGTGGCCAGAGAGATCTGCTGCTTCTTCCCATGAAGAGTCTCAATCACATGCTGCTTCTTCATGTCTGGGGGAGAGAAGAGGGTCAACATCAATAACAGATTTATTTAGGAAAATATCTAATGCTTTATATCAAGGGTGTCAAACTCATTCCATGGAGGGCCTAGTGTCTGCAGGTTTTTCCTTTCAAATAAGACAACCAGGCGAGGGGAGTTCCTTGCTCATAAGTAACCTTACATTTGTCAATTAAGTACAAGGGTGGAGCGAAAACCCGCAGACACTCGGCCCTCCGTGGAATGAGTTTGACACGTGCTTTATATTAAGTAACATTGTAAATATACCCATCTTTTGTATATCCAGTTAACTAAAAAAAATTACATTTGTCAAGTTGTGAGTCTGTCCTTACCATTGGTGTTGAGGTGCAGACAGTCGATGCCCAGGGCTGGGTTGGACTCTGTGACCTGCCTGGCACGGACCTCAGTCATGGTCTGGATGGAGTTGAGGCCGCTGTTCTCTGCCAAGGCCATGGGGATCACCTCCAGTGCATCAGCAAAGGCCCGCATGGCATACTGCTCCAGAGATGGGCACTGCAGAAGGAGTAGAGGGAGAGATGAGAACATAGCTTTGTTTCAGATAATTCACCATTGTCATCAAACGTCAGGCTATTACCGTTTCTGAGTCACACTCCAATGCAAGGTTTTACAGGCCTTCAGAAAGTATTCACACCCCTTGACTTTTTCCACATTTTGTTGTTACAGCATGAATTTAAAATGGATATGTGTCACTGGCCTACACACAATACCCCATAACATCAAAGTGGAATTATGTTTTTCTAAATTTGTACAAATTCATAAAAAAACGACAAGCTGAAATGTCTTGAGTCAATAAGTATTCAACCCCTTTGTTATGGCAAGCCTAAATAAGTTCAGGAGTGAAAATGTGTTTAACACGTCACATAATAAGTTGCATGGACTCACTGTGTGCAATAATAGTGTTTAACATGATTTTTTTTTATTGACTACCTAATCGCCGTACCCCACGCATACAATTATCTGTAAGATCCCTCAGTCGAGCAGTGAATTTCAAAACAGATTCAACCTCAAAGACCAGGCATTTTCCAGTGCCTCGCAAAGGGCACCTATTGGTAGATGTGTACAAATATAAAAAGCATTGAATATCCCTTTGAGCATGGTGAAGTTACACTTTATATCAATACACCCAGTCACTACAAAAGATACAGGCTCCCTTCCCAACTCAGTTGCCGTAGAGGAAAGAAAAAGCTCAGGGATTTCACCATGAGGCCAATGGGGACTTAATACAGACAGATACAGAGTTTAATGGCTGTGATAGGAGAAAACTGAGGATGGACCAACATTGTAGTTACTCCACAATACTAACCTAACTGACAGTGTGAAAAGAAGGAAGCCTGTACAGAATAAAAATATTCAAAAACATGCATCCTGTTTGCAACAAGGCACTAAAAGTAATACTGCAAAAAAAAAAGTGCCAACTTTTTGTCCAGAATACAAAAAGTGTTATGTTTGGGGCAAATCCAAAACAACACATTACTGAGTACCACTCTCCATATTTCTAAGCATAGTGGTGGCTGCATCAAGTTATGAGTATGCTTGTAATCGTTAAGGACTGGGGAGTTTTTCAGGATTAAAATAATAATTGGAATGCAAAACCTGGTTCAGTCTGCTTTCCACCAGACCCTGGGAGATGAATTCACCTTTCAGCAGGACAGTAACCTAAAACAGGGCCAAATCTACACTGGAGTTGCTTACCAAGAATATAGTGAATGTTCCTGAGTGGCCGAGTTACAGTTTTTGCTTAAATCTATGGCAAGACCTGAAAATGGTTGCCTAGCAATGATCAACAACCAATTTGACAGAGCTTGAAGAATATTGAAAAGAATCATTGCACAGTCCAAGTGTGTAAAGCTCTTAGAGACTTACCCAGAAAGACACAGCTGTAATCGCTGCCAAAGGTGATTCTAACATGTATTGACTTAAGGGGTTGAATACTAATCAAGATAGTTTTACATTTTCATATTTTTTTTAAACAAATTTTCAAATTTTTCTTCCACTTAAGAGTATTTTGTGTAGATCGCTGACAAAAAAAAAAAAGGACAATTAAATCAATTTTAATCCCACTTTGTAACAACAAAATGTGGAAAAGTTAAGGGTTGTGAATACTCTCTGAAGGCACTGTATATGTTTGACCTGATACTGTGTGTGTGTGTGTGCGTGTGTGTGTGCGTGTACATTGTACCTTGTCAGCAGCTTGGTTGACGGCGAGGGCACAGGAGATCTCAGAGGCTCCGCCCCCGTACACAATGCGGTTGTCTCTGACCAGGTTACGGATGACACACAGCGCATCATGCAGCGCACGCTTAGCCTCCTCAATGATCTGACAGGGACATTTTTTAAAAAATGGTACAGTTAGTGCTGGACTGCAATGAAAGCATGCACACTTACGGCCCCCCCAGGAGCAGAATTGTCCATCCCTAGATACCAATGTCTACATAAACCGATTATCAGTCCCCTCTGCATCGTCTCCAACAGTCAACATTAGCAGACTACCAGTCCACCCACCATCTTGTTTCCTCCGCGGATGAAGATGGTGACTGCCCTGGAGTTCTTGCACTCCTCGATGACCAGCATGCGGTCCTTGGTGGTGCCGAAGCAGATCTCCTTGACGACGCCGGCCGAACCCAGCTTCTCAGCAGTTAGCTCAGAGAACCGTGGCACGATGCGACCTCCTGTCGCTATGGCAATCAGCTGAGGCAGGGGGGAAACAGAGGTTAGCAACGCAGGAATACATGGGGGAAGAAGAAAAAAAAAAAACAGTAACAACATTTTTGCAGCTGAATCGCATGATGTCTGTATGCAGTGTGTGTCTCACCTCGATCTCAGGTCCTCCGACCCAGCGGATGGCGGGCAGCTCATTCTGCAGCAGCAGGTGGTTGGCCTCGTCATCGAAGCCCCACTGGCAGATGGCCAGGTTAGCACCGGTATCCTTGATCTGAGAAAAGTTACAATATGACATTATAATTTCACTTATTTATGTTATTTCATCACGACATACTCAGTGAACTCAACTATCTTTAGTTTAGATCATATTTAATTAAATGACATTCAAGGAGATGAGGGTCCTTCATATACACATCTTAAATAGAAAGGTCCTCTGTAGCTCAGCTGGTAGAGCACGGTGCTTGTAACGCCAGGGTAGTGGGTTCGATCCCAGGGACCACCCATACACAAAAATGTATGCACGCATGACTAAGTCGCTTTGGATAAAAGCGTCTGCTAAATGGCATATTATTATTAAAGTTAGGCTGACTGAATGTCAGCACTGTACCTTCAGCAGCTGTATTCTAGAGAAATAGTAAGTTCTAAAAGGTCACGTGACTAACCTGTTTGATCATCTCCAGGAACTTGTCCTTTTCATACTTCTGCAGGGCCTTGTATTCCTCCACACAGGTCACATCCAGCTTGTGCTTGGTCTTGGGCTTAGGGGGCTCAAACGGGCAGGTCAGGATGGCCATCTTTGTGTCTTTCAGGAGCTGAGGGGAAAGGAGGAACGGAGATTGTTGTAGAAGATAATTTGTGCCGGATGATTTACCTAGCTAAATACAATTATAAAAAGGGAGTGCTTTAGACTTCGATGGGCTAAAAGAAATAATCTAAAATCTACAGAAATTGTCAGCTCTCACACAAGCCCAATGTAAGATGAATGTCCTAGATGAAAGAGGTGAGAGCCATGGTGCTGTATCCCCTGTCAATGCCAGACCACTCCACTGGGGACAGAGTGACTGGAGTAAGGGAGGGGAAGATGAGTTACTGATACATTCTGGTTGGATCGGAGGTGACAGCATAGGCATGCTAACGTGACCCTTGTATCAACTGTATGGCTGATGCATCGCTGCCATCTGACCAGGACCACACCAGCATAAAAGTCAACAGCTATTACAGTGAACTATCCTGAGAGGCGTGTACCTTGGGCATCTGAGGGTGGCTGAACTCCTTGTCTATGATGACTCCCTTGATGAGCTGCGTGTCCTCCAGCTTGCCTCCCACCTTGCCCTCCATCTTGATCAGCTCAAAGTCCACGTCCTTACGGTTCATGTCCGCCACGGTCAGGACGGCGTTCACCGCGATCTCCGCCATCTGTCTGTGGCAGCGGTTGATCCTGAAAGAAGGAAGATGGGGGAGAGAAATCTGTATGAGACCTAATGAAACCAATGGCCAGGTTCACAAATAATAAATGTATGCCATCACATATGGGCCAAATCAATTTGTGTATCAATGTATCTATGTGCAAAGAGCGCAAAACCCTACATCATGTTGCCATGCCAACAAAAAAGGCAACAGCTAGCTGGACCATATCTGACATTTCTGAAAGTTGCCACGAAGACCACAAAAAGCACCAACTTCCAGTAAAACTCACACTTTGGATCCCAGTGTGGTCATGGCGGTCTGGATGAGTGGCTCTGTGTTGCTAGGGTCGTAAGGATACGTCTCGCTGATCTTGTCCAGCTGCGCGATGGCGATCTTGGCGGCCTGGTCGTAACCGTCAGAGATACGGATGGGGTGGATGCCCCTGTCCAGCAGCTGCTCCGCCTCCTCCAGGAGAGCACCGGCCAGCACTGGAGAGGAGAGGTGGGGGGAGTAAGTTCGGATGAGTGTACCAATATGATTCTGCATTGATGAACATAATCTGATCATAGAAAGAATTGCAGGTAATGTGCATGGCTTTCAGAAATTGTCAGCTCTCTCACAAGCCCCATGTAAGATGAATGTCCTAGATGAAAGAGGTGAGAGAGCCGTGGTGCTGTATCCCCTGTCAATGCCAGACCACTCCACTGGGGACAGAGTGACTGGAGTAAGGGAGGGGAAGAGGCGCATTCTGCAATATTAATCCAATGTCTGGATTGGCACAAAAAAAAGTAACCAGGAGTAGTCTACCATCCAATTTTCATAACACGATAGAGATGCAAGAGACCGCACTTGTTTAATCAATAAGCTAATGAGTCAAAGAGCAAATCAGGGAGACTCAAATATGTAGGGGAGCGTACCAACGACTCCGGTGGTCCCGTCTCCGATCTCGTCGTCCTGAGACTTGGAGAGCTCCACCATAAGCTTGGCAATCTGGTGGTCCACATCCATCATGCTGAGGATGGTGGCTCCGTCGTTGGTGACAGTCACCTCCCCATCCCGGTCAACCATCATCTTGTCCAGGCCTAACGAAGAAGGAAAAGTGAAGGGGGGGGGGGGGGGTTAAATGTACTGCAACAACATTAGCAGTGGCTTTATTGTAGTGCTGTGAATGAATAAGCTTCGGTGTAGCTGTATGTTTGGCCTCACCGTTTGGTCCTAGTGACGTCCTCAGCGTCGAGGCAACCGCCTTTGCTGCCATGATGTGAGACTGCAAAACACAAAATCCAAATCTGGTGAGGGAGGGATGCTGCAGGAATAATTAACTACAACAAAGGAGCTAAAAATCAAGATATCTGGTTATCACTAACTAGGTAGATGGCTATGTCCGTGAAAATGGTTTGACAACTTACGTTGGTCAAACTCATTCATTGTCAAGAAGTAACTGACAAACCTTGTCAGCTAGGCTAGGCAGCCAACTTTAGCTAAGCTACTTATCGAGTAGCTAACGTTAGCTGCATGACAGCATACGCACGTTCAATGAAATCAAACTATTCATTGCACTTTATTTAATATTCATCATAACTAAGTGAGAAAACACAGAACGATTGATGGCATGTTAGTTAGTTAAATGATTCCATTGTTTATTTGACAACCAGCCGCGACTCACTGACACTGGCGTCTTCAGAAAATAAGCACATGGGCAGACTTAGCATGCCGCAGCTAATCCGCTAGCTAGCCAATTTCTACAACATGAACTAAACATACAATTTGACTGGCTCAGAATGTTAACTATAAGCCCATAACTAACTTACTAGCTAGTTAGACAACTAAACAAGTGGGCCTGAAGTTGCAAGTGTTCTGCAAATGTGCCTTGATAAGATGCTGACACATGAACGAAGTGGCATGCTAGCTAACGGGACTTGCTAAATCCATTGTACCTTCAGTGCGTCAAGGCCCGATAACCGAGTCTTCTTATCCTGATCTTTGATTATGATGAACGGCCGTCCATACTCATCGAACGCGAGCTGCCCCATAGCGGACATGTTGGCTGAAAGACGGCGACACTTCAGAAGTGTCCACGGCTGAAATTCAGACTTTTATCGGTGAAAAAGTGGAGTGTTGCTGGGCATCTGGTCGCACGGGTCTGCCGGCGACTTCTGGTCTGGAAGGATCTCAGGGCGGGGAGGACGAGACAAAGTGGGGAGGTTGATAAATCATTGAATGATTAGATTTTTTAAAACTATATTGTGAAGATAGATTTCAGTTGCCTTTTATAGAATTAACGGTTTGAGAGAGGTGTTGTGCATAAAAGGTTTTAATTTACTTTATTTTCCAAATTCCTCCTATTATCACGTTGCCACATGAGTTCTTCCAGTCTCGCGATTCTCTCACTCTTGTCTCGCGGTGTAGTCTCTTCGGTGCTAAAGTTGGAAAGAGTAATGAAAATGTTGGATCAAATAGAGGTTAAAACTCCGTAACTGTATTCGTTTGATAATGTGTTTTGGGGTGAATACGTTTATTTGAATAAACTATCAGACAGCTCATTTTGCAGTTTTACTGGTATCGTTTGGCTGCTCCATTCAGACCTTTCCTATGCTTGAGGAAATCGTCCAGAAAAGTGAATTAAATATTTGGCTTGTGAGCTAGTTAGTGCCATTTTTGTCTTTCAGTTCCACCAAATAAACTATATCGGACTTAGTAGCTGTCCAGGGCTGGAAGACTGGCACTCAGGAGGAGTTTGACAGCTACCTACCTACCTACCTGCCTGCCTGTCAGTCCAGTTGGATGATACGCGAATCTCATGGCGTTTCAGAGAACTGTTCTCCAAAAGCATCCTCTTATCAGAGAAAAGCAGTTCGTGTTATGTTAAGCGTTAGTTAGATAAATAAATGGACACATCAACGTGCATAAGGACAGCCTGTTCCTTCCTGGGGCATGTCGTGCGTCACAAGTGACGTGACCTCCGGGTAGGATTTGTATGGTGCTGAACGTGTTCAAAGGTTTATTCTACAATGTTACAAAAGGAATTCCACGGGGATCTGCAACTAGCTCTTCAACTTTCCGATTGTGTAGGTAAGATACATGAAATGCAATCAGTCGCGGACATTTAGAGGATGATTATCTATTCTGAATTCAGTTTTACGTGGGTCTGTTTTTCATCTGTTGTCGAGGTGGAATGGGTAGGATCAGTGTCAGTATGGATGATATTTCTCAGTTTTCAATCCAGCATGTCGACGTCGATTTCTGCACAATGTTTTGTTGATTTGTTGATGACAATGGGGACAATGTTGCCACAACAATTATAGATTTGATACACTGTAACAGCTTGCTATAACGTAAAGTTTCACTGACTTCTGTTGTTTCTGCTTGTCCAGCAGAATGCCTTGTGAGGTAAAGCCTCGGTTCCTGGTTCTGTACGGGTCTCAGAAAGGCCAGGCCCAGTCCATAGCTGAGGGGATAGCTGACGAGGCCGAGGAGAGGGGACTGTTTGCTGACATCTGCTGCTTGAGCGAAGGAGACAAGGTAAAGTTAACAAACACAAAATAGTGTCAACCTGCCCTGCATGGCATGCATTCCAATGCGGGCACAACACCTAAAATGGTAAACATCGCCTACTATCAAGCTGCTAAGGAAACATAACTAGCTTATGTATGAGTGTATTTGTGGCAGATGTTGTTACTGGCCTGTTCTATTCTCATACAAATACTGATCCTGTTTTGTGTATCCCGCCCCCAGTTTAACTTGGAGAAGGAGAGTGCTCCTGTGGTGTTCGTTGTGTCTACCACTGGGGATGGGGACCCACCAGACACGGCCCTGAAGTTTGTCAACAGAATCAAGAAGAAGACCCTGCCCAGCGACCTCTATGCACACCTCTGCTATGCTCTTCTAGGTAAGGAAGCATTGTGTGTCTCAGACTAAATGCCTAGTGCCGAGATGAATTGCTACTATTGCTTTAAAATAACAGATTTTGTTGATAGATTGTGTGATGGTCAATACCTTGTTTTTCTCTGCTCCAGCTCTGGGTGATACGAACTATGCAAATTTCTGCAACTGTGGGAAGACTATTGATGACCGTCTACAGGAACTTGGCGCTAAACATTTCTACGCAACAGGACATGCAGACGACGGTGTAGGGTAAGGCCCAAGGTTTTTTAATAGGGAAAATAATACATCTTATTACATGTTGATGTATGAGAAACACTTGAAATCCTGGCACTCACCTAGGAAGCTTTTAAGTAGGGGTACAATGTCTTCATGAATCGGTAGCAATAAAAGTGGTATCAATACAGACACACTTTGAATATACTTTCCCTACTTACCTCGTGTCACCTCATTTGTGGTGTGTGGCACATTATCTTTCAGATCCCTCACACTGCTTGTCTCTGAGTCTGAGTAGACTTTGCTTTATGTCCAGGTTTCAGTTGGTAGTGGTCTCTTAGGGTCTTTCTCATGTTAATAGTTTAGCTCTTAATCCAAACCTTGTCGTGTGTGTGTGTGTGTGTGTCCAGGCTTGAGTTGGTGTTGGACCCCTGGCTTGAAGGACTGTGGGAGGCCATCAGAGGAGCGTTATCCAAGATGGCCGCCCCTCAGCCTGAGAGCGATGGCCATGTTAGGGACCTGAAAGCATCGTCGAACGAAACGCTCGAATCGTCAGCGACAGACATCAAACTCCACCTCCTGAGTCTCAACGAATCAGAATACCAGAGCGCAGACTCCCTCAGAACAGCAGCGAGTGCTAAGACTGATTCTCTGGCTGTTTCACCATCAGAGACAGGGAGCGCAGTCACAGGGACTGCTCTTAAACTTGATGGTGTTGTCTCTGATCCCAAGTCAGTGTTGGAGACACAGAGTGGACAGACCGGGGCTCCCCGTGCTGTTGTAGAGGCTTCTCTGACACGCTCCTTGCCCCCGCTGTCTGAGTCTGCCCTCAATGTCCCAGCTCTGCCTCCACCCTACCTGGATGTGACACTTCAGGAAGCCACCATAGAAGAAGAGGTGTGTTGTGGTAATACTGGGTTCTTTTAGCACTATTACATGGTTCACCTTTGAATTGAAAGTTGTCAATCACTCATATTTGTTTGAATTCTAACATCACCAGCCCCTCATCTCCCTCCCCAGACCAGTACTCCGGTCAGTAAGGAGACACTTCACGAGGTTCCCATCTCAAGGGCATTCCAGCTGACCAGAGACGACTCCGTTAAAACAGCCCTTCTGATTGAGATGGACATCTCAGTGAGTGGCAGTCACTCTCTTACAACATGGTTTCATGCAGAGACCAATAGATTGGCCAATAGATCGAATTGGTAGTTAAACTAGTTTCTTTACTCCATCCTCTCCTCTGTGTACCAGGCCCACCCTATGGCCTACCAGCCTGGAGACTCGCTTGATGTGCTCTGCCCAAACAGAGCCTCCGAGGTGGGGGAGCTGCTCCATAGACTGGGCTTACAGGACCAGAAGGGCCACCGCGTCCAGCTCTCACTGCGCAAAGAAACCAAGAAGAAAGGTATGCTATTCTCTGTAGTCATACATGGGACAGCAACAGTGTTAAAAAAATTAGTAAAATAGTCTCTATATACTATATAGTTCAATAGTCATGACATTAAACAAATATATTAAAACTGTATGTAACTACACACAGTGTCTGTAATCAATGTAAAATGTGACCCAGTGTTGTTTCCCTCCAGCCGCTCAGATCCCCTCCTACATCCCAGAGAACAGCACTCTGCACTACCTGCTTACCTGGAGTCTGGAGATCAGGACTGTCCCTAAGAAGGTACCTTCTCCTTTCACTTCCTGTACCTGAACTACCCAGTCCAGAACCTGTCTGTGAAAGAGAGAGAGAGACACTCTAGGTCCTACTGAGCATGTGTGGCAGACAGCTAAGGTTGCAGTGTTGGCAGGGACAGTAGGGTGCAGGAATGTAGCCTGGGTGCCAAGCCTGTCTCTGCCTCAGCCATCTTGCCGTAGTCTTGTTTGGCAAGGCGTCAATGTAACATTGTTGAACGCAGAAAAAGTCCCAGCAGTCCAGAAGTAACTACAAATATGAACAATACTATCTTGGACAATAGTTTTTTTGCTATGTGGTGTGTAATGTCACTTTGTGTCTTCTCAGGCGTTCCTCCGTTCCCTGGTGGAGTGTACAGGAGACAGTGGTGAGAGGAGGAGACTACAGGAGCTGTGTAGTAAACAGGGATCAGCCGACTACAACCTCTATGTCAGAGACCCCTAGCCTCGGCCTATTGGACCTGCTCAGGGCTTTCCCCGCCTGCCAGCCCCCTCTCAGCCTCCTCATAGGTCAGAGCACACTCCCTCTCTTGTCAGTCATAATGTCTGAGCTGTTGTTTTGCTTTTACACGTCACAAAACATGTCTCTAGTTTCTAATGATCACCAATACGGCGATGTACTGCTATTCCTTACCTAACCAGCAGAGGGCAGTATAGCCTCAGGAAATGCAGGTTCAATCAAATTTTACATTGTGCGTTTCCCCCTACTTAGCTATTTTTTCCTTCTTTTTTAACTCAACTTGGGTTTTTTCAAAATGTTTTACTGACTCCTAAATGGCCAAACCAATGTTCCTGCATGGCTTCAATCAAGTCTTGATCTAGTACCCCAAAAAGGAAATTGTTAAATTACATATTCTTGCGACCCCTCCCTCAGTGGTTCCATCCTGTCTCTCCATTTGGTCACCCCAGACACAGAGAACTATTGGCTGCAGACAGACAGGCATTATAGTCTGTCATGGCATAAGGCCTAGACTTGCGCTGAGGATGACTTATGTAGATTTAGTTGTAGCCCATTGGAAAGGACATTTCTATCATATTGTACTTAAAAGTAATCTAATACTCATAAAAAATACTTAGACTGGATCTGTGTTTTGTGTCCCATTTGCACGTGTTATGTTGGGATGTCCTCCCCCAAAGAGGCGGTGTCATGACTTAATATCCTAATAAAATGCTAACAGCAGCCCCTTTTCAGTAGTAGAACCGGGCGATGCAGAAATTTGGCCATTTTATAAATGGGGACATTAGTACCCTGGTGAAGAATGTGCTGGTGGAAATGTTTTGGGTCCACTAGCTGTTGGCTGGGGTCCTGTCATTGACTATCCTACTACATTTAACAGGGGCATAGCTACAGAGCTGTGGAGGGCAGGGCAGTCCACGGGTTAACGATCACTACTGCTCTCACTGTGTCTGTGTTAAAACACATTTACTGGCCTCGGGGTGCACCATTAGCTTTGACTGAGTGAGTTTAAGGTGGAGTAAAGCTTTGTGCTTAACTATTAGCTTTACTGTGGCATTGACTCGCCAAGCTACAGACGCTGTGGAATGTAAAGGTTGGATAAAGAGGTGATCTGTAATTGTAATCCACTTTGGGGTTAAGATTTCTCATCTTGTGTAATGGCCAAAAACCTGAAGGAACAGTTTTTATTTTATTGTATTTTTTTACAACAAAAATCGCCATCACTACTAGAAAGAAATTAAAGGAGTATCTTGTGATATGCATCAGATTCCTTCTTCCAGTAATGTCAAGTGATGTGTAGATTGTCACCCCCCCCCCCCCCCCCTCCCTTGTGTGTTCATTTTCTGTGATAGAAAGTCTGCTGTCAGAACTCAGAGGCCTGGCCGGGCTGCAGACAGACAGACAGACAGGGAATGGGACAGTTAATGGGCATGTTAAACCTGTCGTTGAGGAGATTAGAATGCCAGTGGGGAGATGGAACTCCAGCAGTGCCTGAGGTTGGGGGGGCTACTGGGTACACCATGTCTCAGTGATACACCCTGAGCTGTTTACTGTAGAAGAGCTGAGTTAGTCCTAGCTGTTCTGGTTCTCTCTCTCTCTCTCTCTCTCTCTCTCCTCTCCTACTCCTTCCTCTTCCTCCTCCTCTCCTCTCCTCCTCTCCTCTCGCTGTTTGGGTTACTTTAGGGTGTAAGTGAAAAATGGGTTGAGATGTTCTAATCTTCTTCACTCACCCCAAACCATTACATTGGACACATTTAGCAGACTCTGATCCAGAGCGACTTACTTTTTTGTACTGGTCTCCATGGGAGTCATAACCACAACTCTGGCATTTCAAGCGCCATGCTCTACCAACTGAGCCACACCGTACCCAACTGATGTTTCTCCAAAAAGGAATATTTTGTTCGAGAATTTAACTCGGACCTTCATAGTAACTTTTCCTGGTACCATATTCCTCAGAGGCCTCATGCCCAGACTTCAAATTACCCCAAAAGAGGGCACCTTCATGGCTGACATTGAAATACGGTGGACATTAACTATCTCCATCCTACATGCACCACATCTACACTCTCTGGGGATATCAAAACTTTCTGATTTCATGAATACAGAAGTATGCCCTAAAATAAATGTGCGTGAGGCGTATGAATCTGTGTGTATAACGAGGAAATAGGACTTGGAGGTTAGGTGGGTGAATCTCAACTCTGAAGTAGGACTGCCCCTCCTCAGCTCCTTTACGCCATTGACAGTGATCTAAATAGAAAGGGGATAGTGATAGAATGGATGGATGCCTCCCTATGGGGATATCCTCTCACCTGTTGCATTTTCCTTTTCCTTTCAGAACATTTGCCCAAACTGCAACCAAGACCGTACTCCGCGGCAAGGTAAGCTGGTGTACTAGGGCAGCAGGTAGTCTAGCGGTGACAGCGTTGGGCTAGTAACCGAGAAGGTTGCTGGTTCGAGTACCCGCGCCGACAAGGTGAAAAATCTGTCGACGTGCCCTTGAGCAAGGCACTTAACCCTAATTTGCACCAGGGGTGCTGTACTACAATGGCTGACCCTGTAAAACTGCACCTATCCTGTGGGAATTTATTTTTAAAAAGATTTGGGGGAGGGGAAGAGAAAATAGAGAAAGATCAAAGAAGTTGAGTGGGGGATAGAGAACGCGGGATGGAGAGAGAGAAGTCCACCAGAGCGAGAGGAATCAGAGATGGAGGGAGAAAGAGAAGGCGATTTTAAAGAAAGAGAGAGAGGGTCCAGTTACAGTGTTTGTGGATGAGAATCACAGGGTTGTTTACTGTAATTTAGCATCCCAGGCATGGCTGGGCCTGTTTTATCTATCTAATGATGTACCGCATTCACGTTCACACTTCTTTCCATAGCCTGATCAGTGGAGCATCAACAGGACTGTGGTATATTTAAGCAATAAGGCCCGAGGGCGTGTGGTAAATGACCAAGGCTAAGGGCTGTTTGTACACACGATGCAATGCAGAGTGCCTGGATACAGCCCTTAGCCTTGGTATATTGGCCACATACCACAAACCCCAGAGGTGCCTTATTGCTATTATAAACTGGTTACCAACGTAATTAGAGCAGTAAAAATAAATGTTTTGTCATACCTGTGGTATACAGTGTGATATACCACGGCTGTCAGCCAATTAGCATTCAGGGCTCGAACCATCCAGTTTATAAATTCACTTATTTACCCTCTACGTAATCTACTGGAACAAGACTATGGTATATAGTCACTTATTTACCCTCTACATACTGGAAAAGACTATGGTATACAGCCACTTATTTACCATCTACTTACCTGAACAAGACTATGGTATACAGTCACTTATTTACCCTCTACATACTGGAAAAGACTATGGTATACAGCCACTTATTTACCATCTACATACTGGACAAGACTATGGTATACAGTCACTTATTTACCATCTACTTACCTGAACAAGACTATGGTATACAGTCACTTATTTACCATCTACATACTGGACAAGACTATGGTATACAGTCACTTATTTACCATCTACTTACCTGAACAAGACTATGGTATACAGTCACTTATTTACCATCTACGTACTGGAACAAGATAATACACTTACAGTACCTTCATATCTTTTCTCCACTATTTCTCCTAGTCTTTTACTCTATCACTTCCCCTTTCACTACTTCTACTCTCTCTCCCTCTCTCCCCCTCCAGCTCCAGTTTAAGACATCCAGGTCGGCTGCACTTTGTGTTCAACATCATAGAGTTCCCAGCATGCACTGGGAGACCAGTGGGGAAGCGAGGCCTGTGTACTGGTTGGCTCTCTGACCTCGTCGATCCCATCCTGGTGCATCCTGGGAAGGCTCCGTCTTCCAGCACCTCAGCCCTCCCTAAGGTGAGTAGTGGAGTCACCTGTGTGTGTGTGTGTGTGTGTGTGTGTGTGTGTGTGCATACAAACGTAACATGTAAAGTGTTGGTCCCATGTTTCATGAACTGAAATAAATGTTATTTCTCGCAACTTTTGTGCACAAATTTGTTTACATCCCTGTTAGTGAGCATTTTTTTTTTGCCAAGATAATCCATCCACCTGACAGTTGTGGCATATCAAGAAGCTGATTAAACAGTATGATCCTTACACAGGTGCACCTTGTGCTGGGGACAATAAAAGGCCACTCTAAAATGTGCAGTTTTGTCACATAACACAATGCCACAGATGTCTCAAGTTTTGAGGGAGCGTGCAATTGGCATGCTGACTGCAGGAATGTCCACCAGAGCTGTTGCCAGATAATTTCATGTTAATTTCTCTACCATAAACCGCCTCCAACATCGTTTTAGAGTATTTGGCAGTACGTCCAACCGGCCTCACAATTGCAGACCACGTGTAACCACGCCAGCCCAGGACCTCCACATCTGGCTTCTTCACCTGCGGGATCGTCTGAGACCACACCCGGACAGCTGATGGAACTGTGGGTTTGCACAACTGAAGAATTTCTGCACAAACTGTCAGAAACCGTCTCAGGGAAGCTCATCTGCATGCTCATTGTCTTCACCAGGGTCTTGACCTGACTGCAGTTCGGCGTCATAACCGACTTCTGTGGGCAAATGCTCACCTTCAATAGCCACTGTGCTCTTCACGGATGAATTCCGGTTTCAACTTTACCGGGCAGATGGCAGACTGTGTGTATGGCGTCGTGTGGGCGACGCCATATGTCAATGTTGTGAACAAAGTGCCCCATGGTGGCTGTGGGGTTATGGTATGGGCAGGCATAAGCTACAGACAACGAACACAATTGCATTTTAACGATGGCCATTTGAATGCACAGATACTGTGACGAGATCTTGAGGCCCATTGTCGTGCAATTCATCCGCCACCATCACCTCATGTTTCAGCATGATAATGCAAGGCCCCATGTCGCAAGGGTCTGTACACAATTCCTGGAAGCTGAAAATGTCCCAGTTCTTCCATGGCCTGCATACTCACCAGACTTGTCACCCATTGAGCATGTTTGGGATGCTCTGAATTGACGTGTACGACAGCGTGTTCCAGTTCCCGCCAATATCCAGCAACTTCGCACAGCCATTGAAGAGGAGTGGGACAACATTCCACAGGCCACAATCAACAGCCTGATCAACTCTATGCGAAGGAGATGTGTCGCACTGCATGACTCATGGTGGTCACACCAGATACTGACTGGTTTTCTGATCCACGCCCCTACCTTTTTTTAAAGGTATCTGTGACAAACAGATGCATATCTGTATTCCCAGTCATGTGAAATCCATGGATTAGGGCCTAATTTATTTATTTCAATTGACTGATTTCCTTATATGAACTGTAACTCAGTAAAATCTTTGAAATTGTTGCATGTTGCGTTTTATATTTTTGTTCAGTGTATATATGTGTGACACACCCATAAACACTTTTTGACCTTTGACCACAGGTCCATGTGAGTCTGCGTCAGAACTGCTCCTTCCGCCTGCCCTCTGACCTCTCCAAACCCCTCATCATGATTGGACCAGGCACCGGGGTTGCGCCCTTCATTGGATTCCTACAACAAAGGTACAGCCCACAAAGATGGAGGATTCATACTAACCAGGATATTGTTGTGTTCTAAAGGATGCTTGTTTATCTGGTCAGTGAGTGGAAGTGTTGTTTGAGTTGTGAAGACCAACTCTTTGTGAAGTTTACTCTCTATGGCTCAAGAACACTGACATGAATTACAAGGCTGCTATAACAAGTATGATGCAACAGGAAGTGTTTCAGCTTGGATCAGTGTGTTAAATCAAAATGTTTACTGTTCAAGTACACCATCAATGAATATTAATATTTAACAATGCTTAAGTGATGTCATCTGTAAGTTAGTCATACGTTGTTTTGCATTGATCTCCATAATCAATGACTAGAGATCCCACCAAAGGTTTTGCAATGCTCTCTGTCCAATAAGTCTTTATAATATATCATAATATAATATGCCATTTAGCAGACGCTTTTATCCAAAGCGACTTACAGTCATGCGTGCATACATTTTGTGTGTGGTGGTCCTGGGGATCGAACCCACTACCTTGGCGTTACAAGCGCCGTGCTCTACCAGCTGAGCTACAGAGGACCACAAGGTTGATGGTGGTATAATAGCAATGTGACAGACCGAGCTGTGATCACGTCTGGGATCAGTTCTTCAGTGAAACTACCTGTAGGAGGAAATTACCTCTAAACGTTGATTTGAAGGTCCGTTGTGTGTTCTACCCCTATTGGTTAAAGGGCCAATCTGCGGTTGCTACATCCATGTTTTGGCTTATATATTAATGATATGTACCCATTGATTCTTAAAAAATAGAACTTTATAAATGCCTCATTCGCTTAGTTCAACTGTCGTACCCCATCAGAACCCAAAATATAAACTTGTTTTACTCCCAATGTTTTTAAACGATGTAAATGTAAACAAATAGTTAATAGCCTCAACATGGTTAAAACTATCATGTTGATATCATGGATGGTCAGTCCCTTGCATCCATAGCTCTGTCTATGAATTTGAGAGTGGTTACCTTTCTCCAGCCCCATCCCTCAGCTCTTTACCGAAATGCTTAATTGTTTCAACCGCTGATTGCCCCTTTTTAATGTTAGGATTTGGAGAGGGTAAGCTGATCCTAGATCTGTGCCTAAGGGCAACTTCCCACTGAGGTAATAAGTCAAGCCATTCCAGAGATGTTGGCTGTCTGTCTGGGGTTTATGACTTGGACTGTAATGAACAGCCGATGGAGATGTATTGATTTGAATGTAAAGAGGCCTACAGACGGTCTGTGTTAATGTAAATCATAGCTGGTCATTACTGGGAGGTGCACCGCTGCTCAGACACGGTTCACACCACCCGCCAACTACGAGTGTGCACGTGCGTGCATGGTTGATGAATGGCTCACGTTGCTAGTTCAACTACACCAACCTGTCAATGTCGTGATCGAGCGTGTTCTCCCATTTGCAGTCAGTGACATCCCCTCACTGTTGTGCCCTGCTGTTCAGGGCATTAGTTGACTTAATTTTCAAGCTTTTACAGTTTCTTGTGTCAACTAAAGAAATCAATGTTTCTTGGCACTTCTCAGGCTTTAGCCTAGACCCAGAAAAAACTAGCAATGTCACATCTGGAGAGATGCTCTCCAGTGTGTTTTTCTCTTTTAGTATGGGGCTGCAAAATCAGTGCAGTCTGGGTTGTCGGTTCTTGTATGGAATTACATGTACCCACCACAATTTACATTAAGCGTCCTCTTGCATGTGAAACATTTCTCAGATTAGCGATGACATGTCTGTCAAGTTCCTTTCAAACCTGATTTGATATAACTCGGACATTCCGCTCTATAGCATTAGAAAATGTTTTCATGTCTACAATATCACCAATCAGTAACATACAGGTACATAGTAGCCTTCAGTAAGCCCTGGTGATTGGCTGTAGAAAGGCAGCTTCTTGTTTCTAATTGCATTTCTCCATAGACATTCCTTTTCTCGACATAAAGCTTTTCACCGCAAGATGATGAAGAAGTTGGGTGAAACTATCTTTCAGTGCTCCCTTTTCTCTCTCTGTCTGTCAGATTGTAAAACCTGTCACGAGGAAAGCTTTGTACAGTGCCTGACTTAAGATTCCAAACAAGGCGTCTACCCCTGATGTCGTGCTTTGATAAGAGATAACAACGTCCATTTTGTCAACAGGACGCTGTATCACCAACAGCCATTTTGAAAGCAGGACGCCAACAAAGCCTGAAGGGCCTCCTTTTAGCAACAAAGCAGCATGGGGACGTTTCACTTCTTCCTCCCTCTCTCCCTCCGTCGCTTCCCTCTCCCCTCACTCTTTCCTCCTCCGTTGCTCCCTCTCCCCTCCCCCCTTCTGTCATCCTGTCTTCCTCTGTCAATCGATGGATGTTTTGAAAATGACTGTTCCACTTTATAACTGCAGGAGCGATGGAGAGAGGGGGAGAGCGATGGGGAGAGGGAGAGCGATGGAGAGAGGGGGAGAGCGATGGGGAGAGGGAGAGAGCAGAAGCGATGGAAAGAGGGAGAGTGATGGTGTTACGAACCCTCGTGGCGTCATAAACGTCTAGGGTGGATTGGACCATGATACCCAGATACATAATTATGCAAAATAGTAGTGTGGCCTGGAGCAGTGATAACAAATGTGGACACAACAACCATGGAAACTACCGTCAAACACAAATGGTTTTATTACCCTAAACACACTGGTAAAGGTTTGGGAAAAAGGTGCTGAGCAGGAGACCCAAAGAAAATGAAACAATAGTGTAAAAACCCCCTCAACTGGATCCTCGTCCTGCCTGGAAGAACCGCTAGGCTACTGCTAGTCATACTAAAAGTACAGTGGGTAGGTCCGCTCAGGTCCTAACTAGTGTTTTGAGACAGAATTCGTCCTACGGTGAATGTACCGCCCGAAGGGCAACTAGCTTAAACGCCCCTTTTCCCAGAAACACACAAACAGCTAACCAAACAGGGTAATCAGGCAACAAAGTAAGTCACCAATAACAGGACAACCACAGTACCACACCACATAAAGAAATAGGCTTCTAACAAAGTTACCAATAGGGTAACCAACACCTTAGTGAGTACACAACACACAGGACACCACCGTGTCCATACTCAATATGGCCAAAAATCTCTCTCCTCAACAAACACAAGTGACTGGTTTTATATAATGGGATGTGTGGATTGAACAAACTAGTAACAGGTGGTGCAATGCACAGGAAGTTCCCCTGAATTGGTTCCAATCAGCAGACACCTCAACGACCACCAATCAGGAAGCGATACAGGTACACCTGTGATTAGGGCAAGAAGGAGAGAACACACAAAAACACAGGATACCTGTATCCGTAACAGATGGAAAGAGGGAGAGCGATGGGGAGAGGGAGAGCGATGGGGAGAGAGGGAGAGCGATGGGGAGAGGGAGAGCGATGGGGAGAGAGGGAGGGAGAGCGATAGGGAGAGCGAAGGAGAGAGGGAGCGAAGGAGAGAGGGAGAGGGAGCGGTTTAAATATCATAACTCGGTGGGATCTGGAGACCTCTGGCTGTCTGACATTGATTAGTCGTCTGAGCTTAAGGATGAGTAATTCATTGAGGTTGTTCACCGGATGACAGGTAGTTGAGTTTGGTTACTGTAAATGACTCTATAGTATCTCCACATTCAGCTGAATGCATTCAAAATAGGGCATGCTAATGTCTTTGAAATTCGGCATCCAGGTACAGTATTCATAGCTCAGTGGTACTTCCTGGAATTATCACGGACAGTCTCCTAAAACTCCCACAACACCACACATACAGAACATAAAACCCATTCAGCATTCCTCTGTAGCTCAGCTGGTAGAGCACGGCGCTTGTAACGCCAAGGTAGTGGGTTCGATCCCCGGGACCACCCCATACACACAAAAAAATTATGCACTCATGACTGTAAGTCGCTTTGGATAAAAGCGTCTGCTAAATGGCATATTATTATTATTATTATTATTATTATTATTATTAAATCAAATAATTGCTGCATTTACAGAGACCTCATTCCTGTTCAATCACAGTTTCCTCTAATCCTTTTTCATCTGAGAGGCAACTGCCTCCTTTGGACCCAGAATGGAGTCTCTGGCTCTGATGCTGTGACGCTGTTTCCCTCAGGGCCTGTGGTCTGGGCAGAGATGTGATTTGTATTCAGAGGGAGTGGCAGTTTGGTCTGTGTGGCGCAGTAGACATAGAAGCCAGGCTTTTCATATTGATATTGATCCTTGTGAGGAGGGGAGAGGAGCCCAGTTAAATACGTTTACTGATTTTTAATCAGGAATTGCAGATTGACAATAGTGGATGATGTCACTTGTTAGGTCTGCTCTCTGCTTAACTAAGGGATGCATCAATGAGACTGGAATGTTCTGGGTATTCAGAAACCTTATCCAGTCAAGGTTCTCCACATCTGATAGCGCCTGGCCTGTTGCTGGTCAGGTGACTAATGTGATGGTGAAGGTCGGAGGTGTTATCAGGAGAGAGATGTCACCCCCCCCCAGCGGGTGTGTAGATCACAGCACACTGCCTGAGCGTTTTGTGTCTTTGTGCCACCTCTGTGCAAAGGATTCTGGGAGCCCTGACAGACTCGTTGGCCACAGGAGGAATCACTTTTATAGAAGTGGGGCTGACGTGCGGAGGGAGATGTGTACACACAAACACACACACACGTGCGCACGGCGAGAACTCAAGTCCTTGTTACATCTATGGTGTAGTGTGATCCATCTCTTTAGTAGCATGTTATTTTAGTGTCCCCTCTGTACTTCATCATTCCCCTCTGTACTTCATCATCCCCCTCTGTACTTCATCATTCCCCTCTGTACTTCATCATTCCCCTCTGTACTTCATCATTCCCCTCTGTACTTCATCATTCCCCTCTGTACTTCATCATTCCCCTCTGTACTTCATCATTCCCCTCTGTACTTCATCATTCCCCTCTGTACTTCATCATTCCCCTCTGTACTTCATCATTCCCCTCTGTACTTCATCATGCCCCTCTGTACTTCATCATGCCCCTCTGTACTTCATCATGCCCCTCTGTACTTCATCATTCCCCTCTGTACTTCATCATTCCCCTCTGTACTGTATAGATGTTGTAGGGAGATCCAACAGTGTCACTGCTCCCTAAAACCTCTGCTGTGAGCCAGGACTCTGTCTCATCTTTAACCTCTGCTGTGATCAAGGACACTGTCTCATCTTTAACCTCTGCTGTGAGCAAGGACACTGTCTCGTCTTTAACCTCTGTTGTGAGCAAGGACACTGTCTCATCTTTAACCTCTGTTGTGAGCCAGGACACTGTCTCGTCTTTAACCTCTACTGTGAGCAAGCACACTGTCTCGTCTTTAACCTCTGCTGTGAGCAAGGACACTGTCTCGTCTTTAACCTCTGCTGTGAGCAAGGACACTGTCTCGTCTTTAACCTCTGCTGTGAGCAAGGACACTGTCTCGTCTTTAACCTCTGCTGTGAGCAAGGACACTGTCTCGTCTTTAACCTCTGTTGTGAGCAAGGACACTGTCTCGTCTTTAACCTCTGTTGTGAGCAAGGACACTGTCTCGTCTTTAACCTCTGCTGTGATCAAGGACACTGTCTCGTCTTTAACCTCTGCTGTGAGCAAGGACACTGTCTCGTCTTTAACCTCTGCTGTGAGCAAGGACACTGTCTCGTCTTTAACCTCTGCTGTGAGCAAGGACACTGTCTCGTCTTTAACCTCTGTTGTGAGCCAGTACTCTGTCCCGCCTCTGAGTTTTTATTGATTGGGCTTTGAGTTCTCCTCCAGTGTATTTATATTTATTTATTTTCACCTCCTTTTTTCTCTTTCAGGGAGAAGGAGAGGGAGGGAAACCCGGAGGCGGAGTTTGGTGAGACCTGGCTGTTCTTCGGTTGTCGCCATAGAGACCGAGACTTCCTATTTAGGTGAGTGTTATTTTGACCAAAACTTTGGGTCTTTTGGAAATGGCACCCTATTCCCTGTGTTGTGCTCTACTCTTGACCTGGGCCTGCATAGGGTTCTGGTCAAAAGTAGTCCAATGTATAGGGAGTATGCTGCACCCATGCATTCTTTAAGTGTGGCACCCAAATGGGTGACCTCTGACTTTTACTCCAATCAGAGTGCAGATCGTCATGTAAACAAAGAAACTGCCTAGGCCAGGCTGTTATGTTCTATGACGTCATGGTTTCCTGGAACGTGTCACTTTCCTCTGTGTCCTTGACAGCCGTGGCGTGATCGAGGAGGTGGTGAGATTGAAGTGGTCCTTGTAGGACAATACTTTATATGATAGTCTGGCTCCCCCCCCCCCCCCCCCCATAGGACTAGAGATATGACTAGAACAACACCGTGCTGAGATATGACTAGAACAACACCGTGCTGAGATATGACTAGAACAACACCGTGCTGAGATATGACTAGAACAACACCGTGCTGAGATATGACTAGAACAACACCGTGCTGAGATATGACTAGAACAACACTGTGCTGAGATATGACTAGAACAACACTGTGCTGAGATATGACTAGAACAACACCGTGCTGAGATATGACTAGAACAACACCGTGCTGAGATATGACTAGAACAACACCGTGCTGAGATATGACTAGAACAACACCGTGCTGAGATATGACTAGAACAACACCGTGCTGAGATATGACTAGAACAACACCGTGCTGAGCAACACTGGTACACAGGGATGGGGAGCTTATAGCTGGGTTAGGATGGAGAGTATATTGTGCGCTATAGTGTTACAAAGCTCACAGACTCATAGATAGAGAAATATACACTGAATGTACAAAACATTAAGAACACCTTCATAATATTGAGTTGCACCTTCCCCTTTTGCCCTCAGAACAGCATCAATTCGTCGTGGCATGGACTGTACAAGGTGTTGAAAGCATTCCACAGGGATGCTGGCCCATGTTTACTCAAATGCTTCCCACTGTTGTCAAGTTGGCTCGATGTCCTTTGGGTGGTGGACCATTTCTTGATACACACAGGAAACTGTTGAGCGTGAAAAACCCAGCAGCGTTGCAGTTCTTGACACAAACTGGTGCGCCTGACACCTACTAGCATACCCCATTCAAAGGCACTTAAATATTTTGTGTTGCCCATTCACCCTCTGAATGGCACACATACACAATCCATGTCTCAAAGCTTGAAAATCATTCTTTAACCTGTCTCCTCCCCTTCATCTACACTGATTTTTAAGTCGTTTTAACAGGTGACATCAAAAAGGGATCATAGCTTTCACCTGGATTCACCTTGTCAGTCTTTCATGGAAAGAGCAGGTGTTCCTAATGTGTTGTACACTCAGTGGATCTATTCCATAAAGTAGATACAGCAATTCCAGTTCAGAAGACTTGAAAACCATTTTTATTTCAAATCAAACTTACTTAACCGAGTGAATGCAAATATTCCAACCTTTGTCTTTAAATTACTTCTAGCACTACCAAAACAACACAAAGCCATGTGAAGGCCCGTACACCAATCAAAGCGATGCATCCTGAGTAGATTACAAAGCGATGGATTTGTCCCAGAAATCATGAAAGAACAGATCAAAGAAAAATCTGCCTGTATTTGTTTATTTCCTTCCGTCTCTTTGTTAAATAAATCCTCACAGCCAGGCATCATGGGCTGATGGTTGTTTGTTCACAGGGGGAATTCAACCTAACCCAACTTTGGCCATCAGTGGGGGTCTGAAACATGAACTGATAGAAAAATATAGTATTCCCTTTGATGCTAAATATATCCTGTGGTCCTAGGCCAAACCTTGACATCCTGGGTGTGACATTAATATCACAGTGTTCTCCTATAAAAAACTAACTCTGGGATCAGCCCTAATCAACCCCAACACTTAACATATGTGTTAGAGGGTGACACCAATCTGACCTCCAGTCAGTTACTCAGACCCCCTGATGTTTGCTCCCTGTCCCTCCATCTTATTCCCTTATTCCATGGATAGTGATTTCAGTGCAGAGGGGAGGGGGGTTTACATTTTTACATTTTAGTCGTTTAGCAGACGTTCTTATCCAGAGCGACTTACAGTTAGTGAGTGCATACATTTTTTTCATACTGGCCCCCCGTGGGAATCGAACCCCACAACCCTGGCGTTGCAAGCGCCATGCTCTACCAACTGAGCTACAGGGGGACTACTGTAGCTCTTGTTAAGGGCCAGAGTGGCACCACCAGACCAGACCAGACCAGACCAGACCAGACCAGACCAGACCAGACCAGACCAGACCAGACCAGACCAGACCAGACCAGACCAGGGTTTGACTGAGAGCTGAGGCCAGAGAGAAGAGCTCAGCTCAGTGGGGTCTGGGTGGACCCCTGGTACAAGGATGTTAACCTTTCAAACAGAAATAAAAGTCTCATTATATTGGCTGACATTCAACAGAGAACAGGGGGGAGGACAGAAAAGAGAGAAAGGAGGAGAAATGGCAATATGAAATTAACTAGAGAATATTTATTCTGTTGGTCAACACCTTTCCCCCTAGACGTTTCTGTTGGTCAACACCTTTCCCCCTAGACGTTTCTGTTAGTCAACACCTTTCCCCCTAGACGTTTCTACTAGTCAACACCTTTCCCCCTAGACGTTTCTGTTAGTCAACACCTTTCCCCCTAGACGTTTCTGTTAGTCAACACCTTTCCCCCTAGACGTTTCTGTTAGTCAACACCTTTCCCCCTAGACGTTTCTGTTAGTCAACACCTTTCCCCCTAGACTTTTCTACTAGTCAACACCTTTCCCCCTAGACGTTTAAGGGGGTGTATTCTTCATGTTGTTGTTTGATCACCAGGAAGTGAACCCTCATCACTGCTCTGTTGATTCTATTTGTGACCTCAGGGCCGTGAAGGAGTCCCGTCCAGACAATCCCAGGGGTCACATGTCAACGTCTTTCTCTTTTTCCTCCCCACCTCCTGTTTTCACTCTTGTCTTTCTAGTGTTTAACATACTTGGTAAACTAGGGATTTGTTTGCAGGGCTGTCAAAAATAGAATTGTTCATACTGAGTCATCCAGATGAATAAATGTCATGAGAAAAACATGGTGATGTTGTAGCAAAAATACGTGACATTCAACCCAATGAGGGACAAAAAGAGAGAGAAAGAGACACAGAAGGAGAGAGGGAGAAATGGACAATAAAAACTACAGTGGGGGAAAAAAAGTATTTAGTCAGCCACCAATTGTGCAAGTTCTCCCACTTAAAAAGATGAGAGAGGCCTGTCATTTTCATCATAGGTACACGTCAACTATGACAGACAAAATGAGAAAAAAAATCCAGAAAATCACATTGTAGGATTTTTAATGAATTTATTTGCAAATTATGGTGGAAAATAAGTATTTGGTCAATAACAAAAGTTTCTCAATACTTTGTTATATACCCTTTGTTGGCAATGACACAGGTCAAACGTTTTCTGTAAGTCTTCACAAGGTTTTCACACACTGTTGCTGGTATTTTGGCCCATTCCTCCATGCAGATCTCCTCTAGAGCAGTGATGTTTTGGGGCTGTCGCTGGGCAACACAGACTTTCAACTCCCTCCAAAGATTTTCTATGGGGTTGAGATCTGGAGACTGGCTACTCCAGGACCTTGAAATGCTTCTCACGAAGCCACTCCTTCGTTGCCCGGGCGGTGTGTTTGGGATCATTGTCATGCTGAAAATCCCAGCCACGTTTCATCTTCAATGCCCTTGCTGATGGAAGGAGGTTTTCACTCAAAATCTCACGATACATGGCCCCATTCATTCTTTCCTTTACACGGATCAGTCGTCCTGGTCCCTTTGCAGAAAAACAGCCCCAAAGCATGATGTTTCCACCCCCATGCTTCACTGTAGGTATGGTGTTCTTTGGATGCAACTCAGCATTCTTTGTCCTCCAAACACGACGAGTTGAGTTTTTACCAAAAAGTTCTATTTTTGTTTCATCTGACCATATGACATTCTCCCAATCCTCTTCTGGATCATCCAAATGCACTCTAGCAAACTTCAGACGGGCCTGGACATGTACTGGCTTAAGCAGGGGGACACGTCTGGCACTGCAGGATTTGAGTCCCTGGCGGCGTAGTGTGTTACTGATGGTAGGCTTTGTTACTTTGGTCCCAGCTCTCTGCAGGTCATTCACTAGGTCCCCCCGTGTGGTTCTGGGATTTTTGCTCACCGTTCTTGTGATCATTTTGACCACACGGGGTGAGATCTTGCGTGGAGCCCCAGATCGAGGGAGATTATCAGTGGTCTTGTATGTCTTCCATTTCCTAATAATTGCTCCCACAGTTGATTTCTTCAAACCAAGCTGCTTACCCTATTGCAGATTCAGTCTTCCCAGCCTGGTGCAGGTCTACAATTTTGTTTCTGGTGTCCTCTGACAGCTCTTTGGTCTTGGCCATAGTGGAGTTTGGAGTGTGACTGTTTGAGGTTGTGGACAGGTGTCTTTTATACTGATAACAAGTTCAAACAGGTGCCATTAATACAGGTAATGAGTGGAGGACAGAGGAGCCTCTTAAAGAAGAAGTTACAGGTCTGTGAGAGCCAGAAATTTTGCTTGTTTGTAGGTGACCAAATACTTATTTTCCACCATAATTTGCAAATAAATTCATAAAACTTTTTTTTTTCTCATTTTGTCTGTCATAGTTGATGTGTACCTATGATGAAAATTACAGGCCTCTCTCATCTTTTTAAGTGGGAGAACTTGCACAATTGGTGGCTGACTAAATACTTTTTCCCCCCCACTGTATGTCTCCTTCGCTCACCTCCTCTGCAGTATTTACTGCATTTATACTCATTCCTGTCATGGCCTTCATATTTTATTAAAACTAGTTTTTAAAAGTATCCCTGCTACTGCAAAACATTTATAAGAATACCTTCACCCAAGTTCCCTCTGTTTCCAGACATCTCCTCATATATTGTCTAGTCTCTGTCTGTCTGTCC